ACCAAAAACATCAATTTCAAAGATAACGATAAAGTTATTACATTGTAGCGGCAAACAAATTAATGTATTAATCTATAAACACAAGAAAAACATATAGGACGTTAGTTAAATTATCAGGAATTGACATGTTTGAGTTTCTTTTCGATTTGGTAGTCCACAATTATAAGTAGTTAATAATTACAATCACAATTGTCGTAGTTAGAGATGTATATACAGATAAAGCCTACAATGAGAATATATATGGGAATATCTTTGTGATCTGTAAACGTATATAGCAAATATATTAGAGTTCTATTATTATATCAGCAAGTAATTGGGAACAAGAAACATATGTATGCAGTAGTGTATTTGTGAGCGATAATCAGTGTGTCGTGCTATGAGGAATTCAAAATCAAAAACGGAAAACCCAAGGTCATGAGGAAGGCATTTTGAACAATCCGATCATACAGTTATTTGGTAAAGCATTTATATATGAAAAATAGGAGTCAAACTCGACAAGTCATAAGACAAGAGAACAAACATGATATAGGAAAATAGTATGGATCACACCACCAGGTAATAAGTCTATATACTAAGACAGGTTCAGCGAAAACGAAAAATATTTTTGAACGCAGGTAAGATGCTTGAAACTTCTTATGGCATAAGCACTCACTGTAAACAATTCTTGTACAGAATTACAAAATCTGAGTTAGGGTCAGTCATTATGATCAATATGTTTCTACTGTGTTGAGGAATAGAGAAAGTTATGTGTATATGTGTGTCATTTGCTCTTATTGGGTCACTGGATTCTTATTTATTTTTGAATCCCTTTCGGATGCCTCAAGTTGCAAATCATGATTTTTTTTCCCTCCCTATTTATGTGTCCACACACATAGAAATAGGTAAAAACATCGGTATGCAAAGCAACATGTTGTTTACGTTTCTCGTGAGTCATAGACAGTTTCTCAATAATGGTGGAATTTGGCTCAAAGTACATTCTATTGACAACCGACTAAGCGTTAGATTCAACAATAGTCCGTTAAGATCACCTCTGAATGACAAAGTAAAGTGAACGGGCTTTTTGAGTGCCAAAAACACAGTAAGTATCAATATGCTGTGACCTAACCATCGCTTTATGAGTTTTGGCAGATCACCATTCTCTATCAATATTTCGTTTAGTACCCTCACTTTTTCTTGTATACTGTCATTTGTACAGATTCAGTCAATAGTATTGAATAGCCCCTTACCGGAACACTAAACCAACCAATTGGATATCTTGTTGCGAATATCCAAATAGGATAACTCATTCAAATTTTGGTTAACAAAAATGTCCACACTATGAAATAATTACTGCAATATTTGGTATTGTTAGATGAAGCAGACAAAAAGTTGCGGTTTTTATAAAGGCAAAATTGACAAATAGAAACATATGGTTATAACTGTTTAAAAATCCTCATCACATTAGAGGATATCACGGATATTCAGTATTTGACAGGTTTAGCGAGGAAGTCTATGAACAAGTGGACGGAGTTGCAGTGGGTTCACCATTGAGTTCCATATTAGTTGATTTTATTCAGCTAAACTAGAAAGTGGTACACCTAAACAATTCATGCAAACGTTCACATCTGAATGTCAATATTTGGATAACACATTCATCACATATAAAGATGGTACATTAAAACTAGAGGTTCCTACCTATTCTAGTGAAGTACATCAAGTCATCAGGTTCAGGTATGAAGATAAATGCGGAATTCGGATATCCCTTATAGACGTTCTCTTGATAAAAAGAACTGATGAGTCTGTAGATCACTAACGAAGATGAACTGTGTCGAACGATTGAGGGCCTATTCGAGCTAGACGGGAATGGTGCGACGAACCAGCTAACTTCGAAGTCACAAATCGCGGTCAGCACATAACGGGCTTACCCTTTCGTTCCATCAAAGTACTAAGGCCACCTTGACTATCGTAAAACACAAAGGACTTTATTGCAGAAATATATTAGTAATAGTAGGTACAATGAAGATAGTGAGAGCACCACTGCATATGCCAGTCCATGGCGTGCGATTAGCTGATGAGCGTTGGCTCTCTTTGACCTTGGTGAGGACCGATGGACTGTTCAACATTCAGTGACCCAACTGCCGGATGATTTGGCTAGAACTATGTGGCATTTCACTAGCCCTACAAGTCAATGAGACGGAAGCTTGAACAGAAAAAGCACTTGAACTGAGCAGTATACGAATTTCCTTAGCTTCGCACCTCTATAGTACAAAAAAACCCAATCAAACCTCTCAGTTATGGAATACGTATTGTATATCCTACGTATATTTCTGAAGAGGAAGTGAGCTTCTTGTGTATTACCATCAGGTAGAATGAACACTCTGGGAAGTTTATAAACATGTATATGGCTATGAAAGTTAAAATAGGAGAAGTAAAAGTAACCGATAACAAACCCCTGTTCATGAGTCTAGAATCGTAGGTGAGTCATCCGGTGAAATACTGACCCAAAGATTACGTAGTAAAATCCACTAAACGCCAGAAAACTTTGACTATTGCCTCCCACCAACCCGATGGTGACACAGAGGCCAAAACATGAATTATCTGGAATTAATTACGAATCCGGCTACTTTTGTAGAGCAAGTTATATTGATAGAAGTTCTGAGAATTCACATCTTCGTGCTCGTGAACATCTACCAGGGTGATTGAACAAAGGTGTTGTCAAGACAATAAACAGCTGATTACTCACCAATTTAGTACAGACTGGTCATAGAGCCATCATAAATTAATGATTCTCAATAATTTATCGGATTAGTAATTTACTGTCAAAGTCGGTCATACTCAAAGTCCTCTAAATGGTGTTATGTAGTAGCGAGGACATAAGTACGGGTAACTTGCAGGACCTACTATTGGACTATTATTCTTATTGTATAACTATTCGGTAACTAGATTATCTATAACTATATTCATCATATTGTAATCTTCATTTTGACCTATTGATTATTATTGTATGAGTTACTGTCCCTAAGTTATACTCAGTTTATTGATTATTGTCTCCCACGCTTACAGCCTCATTTGGCTTGGTTTTGTACAAATATTATTTTCTATTTTATGGTATGATGTGGCCTGTCTGTCTGATATATAAACAAAGTATGCTTGAAATAAACGATTCGTATAACCGAGGCTGCTATTGGTGTTTTGGACTCAAGTGGACTGGTTAGGCGGATAAGGACCAATAAGGACGCTAGATTACTCATACTAATCGAACGTCATTGTCAGTGTGAAGGTCGTAGAAGGCGTATTTTTTTGGAGGATAATTCACGCGAATTACGTCCTTGTTAAATTCGTAAGGTCATAACGAATCAGCGAAGACCTTGATCAAGTCATAACAATTGGCTATAGCCTAGGTCAAATACATAACAAATTGGCGACGGCTAGGTCAAGTCATAACAAATGGCTAATGAATAGCTACTGAGACGAAGAAACCGGGGTTATATGAACCAAAGATATATGCTTAAACCCTTCTTTACTTTGGTCAACCTTAGGATCAATAAATCAGTTGTAATCCTAATTATAGAATGATTCAATTCAACCTTTGTACACACAACTTTTCTTAGTCAAATATTATTATCTTTGTTATTTTTATTCACATATATTTATATTATTATCATTACTATTTTTATAATTCCTAATATTACCACTACAATTATTATTGTTTCAACATTAATATTAGTCTTCTGAACAAAAACAATTTAATAGTTTAGATCATGAGTCAATTATAGGTAGACCACCATTGAAAACCTGGAAGCACTGGACGGCCGTTTTGTTCTAGTGTGTACCTCCTCAGTAGTACGCATCCACGATTCCGCCTCGCGAGATTCGAACCCAGGACCTATCAGTCTCACGCGCGAGCGCTTAACCTCTAGACCACTGAGCCATCATCATGATCTCAATTAATGAAATTACTATAATATCCACAGAACCCATTCTGATATTAAAAACAATTTAGTTGGCACACAATCCATGTTATGATTTTTTACTAAGTTTATATATACTATCAGACAAGGCTGTCTACTCTCCATATTCCTCTTCCTTCTAGTGATTGACTGGATTATGAAGAATTCGACATCTGAAAGGAAATACGGAATACAATGGACTTCTCAGATGACCTAGCCCTCCTCTCTCATACACACGAACAAATGCAGATGAAGACAGCAAATGTAGCAGCAGCCTCCGCATCGATAGGCCTCCATATTCACAAAGGAAAAAGAAAGATTCTCAAATGCAACACGGAGAACACCAACCCAATCACACTTGATGGTGAAACTCTGGAAGAGGTGGAAACATTCACATACCTGGGGAGCATCGTTGATAAACAAGGAGGATCGGATGCAGATGTAAAGGCGAGGATTGGCAAGGCAAGGGCAGCATTTTTACAATTAAAGAACATATGGAACTCAAAACAACTCTCAACCAATTTCAAGGTCAGAATCTTTAATACGAACGTCAAGACAGTCCTACTGTATGGAGCTGAAACGTGGAGAACTACTTCGGCCATCATCAGGAAGGTACAAGTATTTATAAACAGCTGTCTACGCAAAATACTCAACATCCGTTGGCCGGATACTATCAGCAACAGCGTTTTATGGGAGAGGACAAACCAGCTTCCGGCTGAAGAGGAAATTAGGAAAAGATGTTGGAAGTGGATCGGACATACATTAAGGAAATCACCAATGTGCATCACGACTCAATCCCTAACTTGGAATCCGGAAGGGAAGCGGAAGAGAGGAAGGCCAAAGAACACACTACGCCGGGAAATAGAAGCCGATATGAAAAGGATGAATATCAACTGGAAAGAACTGGAAAGGAAGGCTCAGGACAGAGTTGGATGGAGAATGCTGGTGTGCGGCCTATGCTCCTCGACGAGGGGCAACAGGAGTAAGTAAGTAAGTAAGTTATATATACTACCTATATTTGTTTTGATTCAACATTTGAACTTAGTCAAGTCAACATTGGCATAAAGACCATTTCAATATTAACTATTTTATTCTATAAACATCTGATTATATAAAATGCCTTTACAATTTAATTAAAGGAATAAATAGAAATAAATAATCACTTAAAATAACTTACTAAGAATACAAAACAAGATTATTATTGTAATTATATTTGAACTCTATATTTATTTGTTAAATAGGAATTCATTATCATTGATTAATTTTGTTTCTTTCATCATATTGAACATTCAGTTTCCTAGTCTGTGGTAATTTCCCACAGCACGCTGACAATGTGGGCATACATGATTCACATCTTTACAACTGTTTACGCAAAATGGTATAAGGCAACAACCTAAAACTCCACTGCATAAAATGTAAAATAAATAAAATGATTTATATTAAATTGTTAGTAGGTATTAAAACAAAATAATGTTATTACTGTAGAATATTTATCATGTACAATGGTATTTCAAATATATCAATTCTATTTTATTTACGCAAAATGTTTCTTGAATAAGTTGTCCTAATACTAACCATTGTGTTTAATTTGGTTTGTGGTTTTGTCTAACAATGATCAAACAATTTACAGGAAACTGAGAACAACCTATGTACATTTTGAGAATAAAAGAGCGGTATGATTATGTAGTTTTTGTATGTAAATTATTTAATAGAATAGCCTATGTAGTACAAGTAAACCATATTAGGTGTTTGTCTATTTTAAAGCCATTTAAATGAAGTATGATAGGTCTTATCGATTAAACGCTATACTCGGATCCTAAGCTAGTCTTGGATCATGTCAACAAGTATTAACAAAAGTGAGAAGAATTAGATGTTGATAAGGGAATTGAATTCTTACACAAAGTAATAAGTTGACCTAATAAACTGTATCTCATCTTAGTTGTGTTGCATAGTTTCATCCAAATTCATACATCGACTTCATCATACAAAAAAACTATCTGGTCATAATTTGTTTGATATCTGACTATTTTACTCGAATAAACATATAATCAGGTCAAATGAAATATTGAGGATGTTCAGTACAACGACGAATATATAAACAAAATTTATCCAATGGATTCAATGATCAATCTATCGGGGAACCTGAAACCAGGTTACAATCAACTTCAAAGGTTCCAGTAATCTAGTAATCGAAGATACTATCGGTACTCGGCTAGTTGGGAAACTCTGTTCGAATCACTTACATTCACTATATATTATTCATTTTGTTACTTATGAGAATTAGCTGAAATGTTTCACACAATTTTATCTAGGTTTGTTGACTTCTTAACGATGAGTATCACAGCATTGAGCCATACTGTGAAAACTAAACCATTCAAATTTTCAAATAAACGAAATACATACACTGTGATTAATACACAAAACTATTGGTTCAGCCACGAGTCCTCTTTTCTAAAAACATTCATTCTCAAAACTATACATTTTCAAAATACGAAATGTTTTCACATAAAGATGATCAACAAATCTTAAACCTTAGTTACATTAGAAACAGAGTCTTAACTGATTCATCGTGGAGACAAGATCAATTCGAAGCACTCTGACTGGTTTATTTTCGATAACTCAATGCTAGTAAATTAAAGGAAGAAGAAATTAGATTTGTTATGATATCGAAACCAACAGCGATTACCGTTAGATTCGCCAATTAGAATCCTAGTTATAATTATTGTGTTCAGTGTACACTACTCCATCTATATCATTTTTAAAAGTCATATTCGAAATAATTTCAACTATTGAAATCCAAGTAATTCTAACATTTTATCCAAGAGTCTTGTCTGAACTTCTTCAGCGTAATAATCAAAATCATCAAAGAATGAAATCTTCACTAAACACTTATCCAATAATATTCAGATATTGATTTTAACAAGTAGGAAAGGGTGAGTTTGTAAGATGTGAATAATGCGAATAGTTTACGATGTGAAAAAGGATGAATGTGAGTGTATGTGTATCTTTATGTTATTCATAGTCAATATTTGGCAAATAGATGCAGTTTCTACTTACTACAGAAAACACGTTAATTATTTTGTTCATAAAATGATGAAATAATGATATGAAAGTAATTTGAATATCTTAACATAACAACTATGTTTTTGTTGTTTCTCATTTACATACACATCGATGTTTTAAGAAAACTTTTCAATTTGTACTGTAATGATTATTACTTTGAGATTAATTTAAATCACAAAACCCAAAACGTTCAGATGTACTCATGTCAATGTGTTTGTTTATGATAGATCACTATTATTCAACTTTCATATTAGTTATGGACATGTTATTACTGTTCTATGTTTATCTAGTGAGATTACCACAATGAGAATCCACTTACAAAACGACAGTCACTACCAGCTAACATAAAGACAATAAATATTAACGTGAAAACATAGCTGAATGTAAGTTAGGAAATAACCTTAACATTGAAATCCACATGTTTCTCATACATAATCTTCCATAATTGCAGTAAATTTATAATCCAACTTTATTGCAAAACACCCCAATAGAAAAGTGAGTTAATTCGTCACCCTGCCAAACATAATTTTAGGTCGGATATCCTGTTCGTATTATTGACATATCATTTTGCAAACTAACCGCGAAACTAAAAAATGATAGCTCTGATGAAACAGGAATATTTTATTTAACTTAATGAATAATTACTGCTCTGGTGCAATGTATTGTCTACACAAGATTGGAATTTGTTCACTGATTCTACACAGTGAAAATTGTGCTTAAATGTTGATAATTCATCAAGTTGGAACAATTTACTTTATTCCTCTAAATGTTGACATAACGTCTTTTACTTAAACTTTGTCAATAATTATAGATGAATTAAAGTCATATAAAACATTGACCTACCCAACTAGGCATATACCACAACAAGCTAGGTAAGTTAATAAACCATTTTTGTACTCCAATCTAGTTAAAGTATTTAGTCCACAGGACGGACAATGTAAGGTTACTGGTATATCACTGAATGTTACTTGCGACATTGGTTGATCTGTGATGACCATTGGGTAACTAGGAGGAAGTTGTGATTTATCTATAAGAAAGACATGTAAATAATTTGACAGAGTTTTACGAAATATAAAATTACTTCAGAATCCAGCTGAAACAATTGTTGAACTATTGGATTTAATTTATGTATGAAACTGATAAACGGTATTAAAATGAACTTAGAAAATGGAGTAGATGGCGGTGATTACTAACTTCATTTCAGTGTACTTTTATCACTGATAAAATATTCAGGAATCTTTTCAAATTGAGTTAAACTTCGAGATTATATATTATATAGTGCACATATTCTAATTACACCAGGTATGGACATGCTTATAATTTTAAAAATCAATGTAAATCCCGTTGAGGTAGAAGAAACTTTGGTTTACATCTGTGGTTATAATCGCAAATGTGAAGTAAAACTTCTATTGTCCTGCAAATATATTTTCACTGATGATTATAAACTGAACTCAAAATGATTTAGAAATTGAATATGAAAACGTTTTTAAAATCCGAGTACCTATAACCATTAAAACAACAACTATGTGTGAAACATCATATAACAACGAATTACAGTGAACTTCGAGATCAACAGAATCAGAGCACTTGAATTTAACTTATTTAATTGTATTCCTGAATCTCAATCTATTATGAATTTCTTCATACGTACTGGTCATTGGTTTTATTAAAAGTAAATGAAAATATTGTGAAAATAGTCTTCTGCATTTTGAATTCTTATCAAGCTTAAGTTTTTAATCCATTCGTTCAATGTACACTTGATACATTCTACCTCCTAAATATGTTCGAATCATTTTATGGAAAAAAAGATCAAGGTGACCTGTTTGAAACGTGATACCAAGAAGAAAGTGGATAACTCATGGATATTCACTCAAACGTTTCACTTTCACAATTATTTAGTTAAAATGAACATTGAAAGTGTTTATTACTCTTAAGACATGAACATATTAACATCGTAAGTAATACTTTCAATGATCTAACAGTACAAAGAGCAGGGAAATCACTAATAGAATGGTCATTTAACACTCAGAAAGCGGAGCCAAAAACACCAATAATGACATCATCTAATCACTTTTATCTTCGTTTTTGGTGGTTGTTAATTTGAAATTGATATATCATCTTATGTGTTAACTTAGTCAATCTCATTGAGTGTGGCAGTTTTGAAAACTAGTATCCAACTGATGTGGAAAGATGAGTGGATGGTTAATTACACATTTAAAATGTGTGGTTGTGATAATTGAATTTCAAAACATCTATCTTAAGTTTCACTTTTAAAGTTTACTATATTCTGCTAATTTCTATCAGAAATTAGATAACTGAGAAAATAAATTATAAGGCAATAGTCACACACAAACACTCAGTAAACTGAATTGATTCAAGCTGTCACAAGTGGTAAGAGATCGTTGTTCAACAAAAAAGAAATTGGTTTGTTGTGGCAGTCAATTACTAAATGGTAGTTAGCGTAGCACACGACCATTTCTTGTTTAGTTAATCAAACTGTCTGATGCTGATAGTAACTGAAGTGAAACGAGGAGAACCAACTGTCGTTAGTTGTTCATTACAACAATTTGTCGAAACATGTTACTGATTTCCTATAAAATATGATTTTTATTAGATTACCGATGCAAACCGTAACATAATTACTAATCAATAACAACTATTTTCAACTCTTTTTTATCTAGAAATACTAGATGTAGACAAACTATATATAATCTGGAGCATCAAAATAAACCATTGAAAGTGTATCAACGCATACAAAGAACAAAACAATATAGTATTATAAAATTATCTCCCTTACAAGTTTGACTCTGTTGCATTCTGCACTCCTCGGTTGTAGAAGATGATAAGTGGCACAGAGAGAATTTTGTGACTATCTATCGTAGATATAAAAATCTTTTAAACATAGACTATCCTTTTATATACTATGTATAATGAAAATTAATTAACAGGTTTGTTATGGACAACTTTACTAGTTATTATGTTATGGTGTTCTATTTTTGGTGAATACTAAGGTCAAAAACTAACTAGTTTTCTATAAAGAATGTTAGAAAAATATGTTGTTTACTTTACAACTGTACCGTGTATAGATTGGTCGATAAGTCTTAAAAAAATAATGACTAATTTATTCTGTATTCGCTTTCATAAACATGTTCGTCTCTCTGCTTCAAATTCGCTCGATGTGTTTGTAGCTTTGCCATCCGTGCTGTCCACTAATAAACTGTAGTCTCCACTTTTTATTGCCTTCTGATTTCAAGCACCGCTAGGATTTACATAATAACGCAGCTAAGCCACTACAACTTTATGTCACATGTTTATGGGACCGAAAGGTGTTCCTTTTTTCTGTTCTACCAATCTACCTACTTTCGCATGTCTCACAAATTATCACGGTTACCATTACTGCATATCAGTAACTACTTCTCTATCTATCTCTTATTACCATCTCCATTTCCCATATTATTCTCTTAATTCTGTCTTCTTACATATTACCAATCAGTTAACTTGTTTTTAATTCTTAGAGTAAATGACTTCTCTTAGCACTCAAATTTTCATTTCCTTAATTTCATAATACAAACGACCAACCTCCAGCCTATCGATGATATATGCTGGTATCCAGGATCCCAAATGCCCTGAGAATAACTCACTCACTCAGACTGTAAGATATGCAAACCCACAAATAACTATCAAACTGATTAGAATTCTTGCAGTAGATTGATTAGACTACTGTTTATTGTACATTACCATATACCTGGAACCGTCTTGAAACAACAAGAAATGAGCGTAGAAAAATTAATCCACTTATACAAGTTTATGACAAAGATATTGGGTGTATTCAAAACTAAAACGAACTATAAGAACGTCAAGTTTCACTGTGAACAACGATAAGTGTTTTTACAACTCTATCTAACCGTGAAGAAATCTTGGTTGAACACTGTTAAGGAATCCCATAATAGGACGAGATAGCCAACCAATGCTACTTAGTTTTAAATGCTGTTCTCTCTAAGATCAGTTCGGAATTTTAATTATGATAATGTAATTATGTTGAATACAAGCTGACTTGAAGTATCTACTCTATGAAGCGCTATCAATACAATGCTTGGCATTATTTGAAATAACTCATTTCTAATTAGAATATGAAGATAAATATATAATAAATTTTAATTAATCAATAGATACATTAGATTAAACATAAAATATTTTCATTTTTATTCACAGGAATGCAAATTATTAATGAGCGGACTTATATGGTGTCCTTTAAGTTTGCATTGCTCTTGTTATGCGATTTTCCAAATCATTATTTCACTAATTAGTTCACTCATTAATAATTTTCATTCCTGTGAATAAAAATGAAAATATTTTATGTTTAATCTAATGTATCTATTGATTAATTAAAATTTATTATATATTTATCTTCATATTCTAATTAGAAATGAGTTATTTCAAATAATGCCAAGCATTGTATTGATAGCGCTTCATAGAGTAGGTACTTCAAGTCAGCTTGTATTCAACATAATTACATTATCATAATTAAAATTCCGAACTGATCTTAGAGAGAACAGCATTTAAAACTAAGTAGCATTGGTTGGCTATCTCGTCCTATTATGGGATTCCTTAACAGTGTGCAACCAAGATTTCTATATGATTATCTTGTATAATGACAATATGTTCTTTACTGTAATCAAGGATCCATAGGTTCTCTTTTCATGATACCTCCAATTGAGTACGGAAATTTGCATGTACCTGCCAAAGTAAGTAGATTGGTGGAACAGGAAGAAGGACCTACTCTCCATGTCATGAATATATCTCATAAAGTCTCATGTCAGCTATGACAACATAAATAATTGTTGCATTTTTCATCATTGATTAGTTTTACCATTAACTGTGTGCTCTCTACCTACTTTACTAGAGTGAATCATTTATTATGTGGAATACAAATAATAAACAATATTCTTGAGGATATGTTTACTGCCACTAATTAATAAACTAGGGATGCCTCTGACTTAAAGTCAAAGTATCGGAATCACTTGTTCAAAGGAATACAGTCGTGTTAAGCTATGATGTTGTATATTTATATACCAGTATACCCATTGATAAATGTCTTGACTTTATTACTGGTTTTTTAAGGAATGATCATACCTTATCCAGCAGATGTCCTTTAGGCATTTGTCTGTCAGTGAACTCTCTCAATCTATGCTTGAATTCAATTTTATTTACCCTCAACGTGACGTTTTACAAACAGATAAACGGAGTGGTAATGGGATTCCCCGTATCCTCGATTGTAGTTAACCCGATTATTACGTAAAAGATCAAACATTTTCACCAATGACATCAAAACATGAATTTGGCTCAGATATGTGGATATGCTTTTGTCGTCATGAGAAAATCTCTTACGAACGTTTTCTAAACTGGTCAAGACATTCGCACCTTAAATTAAATTTACTCACAAAGATGAAACTTATCATGGTGAGCTATCACTTTTAGATTACTTTTCTAAAAGAAATTTAAGTGGATCTCTTTGTTCTGTTTCAACTTGGGTGATTCTCGGAGTTCTAGTGAGAAGCCGTGATCAGTGGAGTTTCACCGTGTAGGGTGTGAGGCAACTACCCACCGAAGACAAAGGAAGATAGACATGCGACGTCATGGATTGATCAAAGTTAGACGTTACTACCATTAGATCCATCAGATCCGTTAGATCACAGCTCAGTGGTCTAGAGGTTAAGCGTTTGTGCACGAAACCTAAGGTCCTAGGTTTGAATCCCACGTGAGTGACCGTAGAAGCTCACTGCTGTAGAGTCCCACGCTAAGACGAGACGGCCGTTCACTGTCTCCAGGTTTTCAATGGTAGTCTAACGTTGACCGGTTCACGATCTCAATTGATTTAATTTGTTTATTTATTCTCTAGAGAAGTATCTTACATTTACACTGAGTCTCGAAACGTCAGAAAATCTAATTTTTCCACGCACTGGTATATATTACAAATACATTATTAATAACAATCTACCCGATGCTCAATATATTTGAAATTATCAGGTCAAACCTTGGTGGCGATATCTACTAGCTGAATGTTGTTTCATTGGCTACAAATGTTTTCCTTCACCTTCCTTATTGTTACTTACTTGTATTCACATGTCTACATAATGTTGTCCATTACACAAAGTTCTCTGTAATTCGAAAGGTTTCTTGTCTGAGTGTGGTTATTATTCACTAGGGATTTATAGGTCGCTTCCCACTCGACTTGCTGCTATTATCAACTGATCTAAATGAGGTTTTATCTAGTGATGAATCATTTCAGTCACTTTATTTTAGGCGGATTGATGAGTTGCATTTGAAATTCTGTTAGTCTTTAAGATATCGTTGATGGAATTGGAAAATCAACCTTCAGACTGTAAATAGATGCCGATGGTGATGGTCTGTCATACAGTTATGAAATTTTTAATCTCTATTTTGTCTATCGTACCACAGTGTTGTACATTCTAATTAGCATCACATCAATCGATCAATGCACGTCAAGATATGAAGAACGTATTTCACATGTGTGAATAGGTATGTAGTTAACTTCAGCGAAAAGTGTTGAAGACAGATGTGGAGGAGAAATTTCGTGTCTTTTGGTTCTCAACTTTCCACAGGAAAGGCATTTATTAAATTAGTGTCTTAAATACTTATTTATGCTTAACCAAACAGACATGATGACTACTAATCAGGTAGTGTGAAACGTTTTATGAGATTAACTGATGTACATTAGTCTCATTTACTGTAGCAGGAAGATACACGACTTGTTATTTAATAAGTCAAATGCCACGATTATCGAGTTATCCAAAGAAATATTCTTTGATTCTAGTGAACTAATGCAAATTAGTTCACCTATTTTGTCGTTCACTCCATTCATTTCACTCACTTACGAGACGTTTACGCCGGTCATTTTTAACCTATTTAAAGTTAGTAAGTAAGAGATGTCGGATCTCTCTGGGCCAGTAAGTAATCCACTTAACTTGTATGGACTCATTTAGACGTATACCACCTGTATATGTATTAAACTAAACTGTCCAATGAAAATACTGAATTCATTGTTGTGAAGCGAGTGATTCTCGCTTACATACTCTAGGGCGTGACTGAAAAATTATAAAGGTTTCCATATTCTATCAACCAGCTATTACGAAACTGATCTCATTATAAAGCAGGAAGCACTAGTCGTGGATCTGATTAGGAAATGGACTAGATATTGAATATACAAGACTGAAAGAAACTTAAGTGGTATTCAGTGAAACTTATCTTCACTCTCATTCTTATACTTCATAACTGTATCGATTTATTTAGAGACAACAAAAATTTAGCAAACATTGAGTTGTTTACGTAAGTAATCGTGATATCATATAGAATAGATTACCCATTTACATTTAATAAACAATATATTCATGAGAGTATCAATCATATTGAACATCAAATTGAGAAACGTAATTACAATATTTCTTCTTCATAAGAAAGGCTTTATGCTTAGGTGCATATATTTGTTTATCCACATGTGACTGGTTAAACAGGCAATATACAGATTATAGTTAGAGCATTTTTCCATCTCCAACTACTTTTGAGATCATTATTGACTAAATTGTAAGTTTACAATTTTATGAATGAAGGTCATTCAAATTCCAAATGTTTTGGAATTTCTGATTCCTTATCCTACTGTCTCGTTTTTTGTCTGTTAATTATACTACTTATATCCAACAACTTGTGCTATAATCATTACTTTGGAATGATTAGTTGGTAATACCTCTTATTGTGATTTGAGATATTCCCAAGTATTCAAATGTATTTTTAACAGTTTATCCATTTTATTTTTGTAGTTGCGTTCTTTTACTATTCATACTAGTTTATCTTTATCTCATTTGTTATTCACTGAAAATTAGTTTATTCATAACGACTTTCATATTTGGTATTCCATAGTACTTATTTCAATTTTGTTTACTGCCACTACTGATTTGAAACAGCTTCATTCTGTCAATAACTTGTTGGCCTACATTCTGCTTTATTGT